GCTTAGTGGTTAAGCACCTCTGAGTTCAATCCCCAGTATGAAAAATAAGAAAAGAAATAGAAAATCCAAATAGTCTTAGAAGTAAAGAGATTCAATCACTAATCAAAATCTACCTGAGTAAAAGGCCCAGGACTAGATGACTTCATAGATGAATATAATTAACATTAAAAAAGAATAACACCAGTATCTCTTAAACTCTTCCAATAAAGGAGGAAACACAAATCCATTCTATGAAGCCAGTTTATTAGCCTGATACCAAAGCCAGATGTCATCACAAGAAAAATAGAGACCAAAACTGAATGTATCTCAGTGGTATAGCACTTGCCTTGCATGCATGAGGTCCCAGATTTGATTACTAGCACCACAAAAGAAAAAAAGTAAAAATTAGAGACCTAATCCCTTATGAAAACACAACAGTCTAACATAAACTTGTGTTGAGAGCATTATTCATAATACTCAAAAGCAGAACCACCAAATGTTCAACTGATGAGTAGATAAACAAAATGTTATATGAGAGAATTTTACTCAGCCATATAAAAGGACTGATACATGCTACAACATGGATTAAACTTGAAAGTACTTGCTAAACAAAAGAAACCAAACATAAAAACCCCACATATAGGGGCTGGTGTTGTAGCTCAGTGGAAGAGTGCCTGCCCAGCATGTGTGAGGCACTGGGTTTGATTCTCAGCAGTAACACATTAAAATAAATAAAGTAAAAGTATCCTGTCCATCTACAACAACAAAATTTTAAAAACTCACATATTGTATGATTCTTCTTAAAATGAAATGCCCAGTACTGGTAAATCCTTAGATAGAAAGTAGAAGAGTAGTTGGTAGGGGTTAGAGAGAAGAGGTATAGAATGAGTACTTAAATGGATATGAGGTTCCTTTTTGTTTTGTTGAAGATGTTCTGGAATTAGATAGTGGTGATGGTTGCCCAATATTGTTAGTATATTGGAAGCCACTGAATTGTACACTTCAAAATTGCTAAAATGCTAATTTTTGTTTTATGAATTTAACCTCAATTTTTTAAAAAAAATCTATGAGATACCAGTTCACACCTTGTGTGTGATAAAGATGTGCAACAGGTAGGACTCTCATACACTGCTGCTGGAGGAAGAGTTAAAAAATTCAATAGTTTCTCATACTATGAAACAATCAGTTATTATCTGATCTAGCAATCCAAGAGAAATAAAAGTGTGTCCCACCCCCCGCAAAAAAAAAAAAAAAAAAGAACACTTGTATACAATGTTCATAGCAGGATTATTCACAGCAGGATTATTCCTAACAGCCCCAAATAGAGACTAAATATGCATCCATAGGTAAATAGATAATCAAACTGATACTTACACACAATGGAACACTAGTCAGCAATAAAAAAGAAGAAACTAAGACATATAACATCAATGAATCACAAAAATAATTAAATACTATATAATGAAAAATAATTAACCTAAAGTATACAAATTCTATCATTCATAATAAAGCTGAAACAATTGTTTCAGGCACAATTGTTCTATAATAATAGAAATCAGAAGAGTGCTTATTTCTGGTTGAAAAGGGGAGACTGGAAAGAGGAATGAAGTATTCTGAGATGAACAAATATTCTACATTTTGAGGAACTGCCAAACTATTTTCCATATGGCTGTACCATTTTCCCACTGGAGTGATAATAGATACTTGTTAGAACTTATCAATATGTATGCTTAAAATGAGTGCACTTTCTACATGCTGATTAATATCACTGGAAAAATTTTAATTTTATATGAACATCTATGGGTCTTATATTAGTTTATGGGTTTGTACCCATATCATTGACGTTGCACACTGTTGCTCAAAAAATACAGAAGGAACGCAGGAAGTAGGGTAGGTAAACTGTTTTACGGTCATGGTCAAATGTGTTTAGTGCTTTCCTAAAGGAATTTATAACAGTTCAGGATGTAAGATACAGTCTTTGAAATAGTTAATTATCTATAACAGCTGTTACAGCAGCCTCTGAATTTTTGTCTCAGGAAAATCTACTTCTAAATTCTGAATCCTCTTGTCTTGCTTATTCCCCATTTTTGTTCCTTCACTTAGGTTATATTTAAGTATTTGACAAGGTCAAATTTACCATTTCCCAGTCTACCTTCACCTAAAACAGAATTCAGTACTATGACCACTAACCAATTTTATCCTTTATATGCTTAGTCCACAAAACTAAGAACTTAATCTTGAAGAATTTATGTCCTCCATTTACCAGTGTAGTGAGACTATAAAATATTTTTAAAAATAATAAAAATGGGAACAGAAAACATTTCAGAAGTAACACCAATAATTGGCAAATGAATCAAACAGGAATGACTATTATTGATGGCCCCAAATGAACAGGATATAAAGGTTGACACTAAGCTAGGTTTGCTATAGATAGGAAAGAGAATAACTACTACCCAAGAGAAGAGACTTAACAAAAGAAAAGAGGACAGTGATACATATTGCAGAACTAATTTGTCTAAGACTCTACAATGTAAAGTTTATATTTGGATATGTGTGACATAATATGAGAAAGCAGATTAGTTCTCATTTGATAATCACAAAAAGTTATAGACTGACCTTCATTTACATGTGAGGAAATTCTAAAGTAGGTTAATATTTGTCCAAGGTCATGAAACTACTTAAAGTACTGAAAGAAATTCATTTCTCTTGATTCATAGCCAAATGTTCATTTAATTAGATGATTCTGTTTAATATTCTTTAATTTTTTCCTCAATAGAACTCTTTAACCAGCCAGGTGTGGTGGTACATGCCTGTAATCCCAGCTACTTTGGAGACTATCACAGAAGATTGATATCAAATTTGAGGTCAGCCTGCGCAATTTAGGGAAACCCTATTTCAAAATTTTAAAAAGGGCTTGGGATGTAGAGCAGTTGCCTAGCATGTGCAAGGCCCTGGGCTTAATCCCCAACCCCTTCTATCCCCCACCACACATAAAAGAACTCTTTAAGCAAGCTTCTCACCACAAATAAACCTCCCCCATTCCTCTCTTCTTGAATGTAAACCCTTCATCTGAAGGGTTCTTTTTCTAGCACATTTTCAAGTTCTACTTTAACACAAACCTCATGCTTTTAGCAACAGACTTGATTATTGAGATGATAGGTAAGGAAATTTCTATCTTCACTGGTTATAGGTATATGACTAAATCCTTCCTGTGGCTACTAAAAGATTTGGGTTCCAATAATAACATTTTTAAAAACCTTGGATGATATATTGGAAAACTATCCAATAAGGCAGATTTTTTGCTTATTCAGGGCTTAGAATTATTATTGTGATGCAGTTATGGGTCCAGTAATGGGTGACTCTACAGCACAGGCTGCAACTTTTACTGTCCTGCTTCACTTAATAAGAAACATGACTTTTCTTTCACTAGAAAGAACATAAATGAACTGTCATTATTAATTTTCTTTAGTAGAAACACACTTAAATCTTTCCCATATCTTTTAAACTTTCAAAGACCCAAACTTCTTTTCTTATCACCACATTTTCCCACACTGACAAATTTCTTGACAGTATAATCAAACTGTCTCAACTTCAAATTTATCATTTTTATCTAGTATTTGCCTTTACCACATGCTCATATTCTCATCAAATAAACCAGTGATATTTCCCATACTAAAATCAAAGGCCTATTTTTCAAGTGTTAGCCTTTTTGAATTTGAGGGTGGAAGAGTTGGTGCAAAGTTCACCAGAATGACTGAGCTTTTACTCTATGCAAGGCAATGTAGTGATTAAACTTTCAAAAATGTTGCACTTAATCCTCCCAACAGCTCTCACAAGTATTACCTCATTTTCACAGATTAAATTTGAGGCTTAAAATTATCCATATCCAATAGCTTAGCGAAACCCAAACAATCTCAATGTTTGTAATTATGACTTTTGCCTTAAGTTTTGTTCCCAGTTCTCTTCCCAACTCTGAGGCCTTTTCTCCCTTTTTATCATCCTCTGCACATCATTACTTGTTTTATTTATGTGCCCTATTGGGCAATTTCATTTCCTTCCATGGCTTTAACTGTATTCTCTGTTAGTGTTCCTGGAACTTTTAAATCTTTCTTACAGACAAAATCTTGATGCTCTTTTTGTATTTTGTTTTGAAAATACACGATCTTTTTCTCAGAAATTATAATAAACATCCCCAACAAACTTTAATAAAGTTTCACCATTGTAGCTCCAGGTTCTTCAACCTAAACCTGTCCAAAACAAAATTCACATTTCTCCTTAGCAAACTTATCCATCTCGGTGTTCACCATTTTGGTTAACAGTGTCACAATCCATCTTTGTCTGTGTTTCAAGAAACCTTTTTGCAAAACGGTTATATTGACATTCTCTTCCTTTCCTGAGCTGAGATCAAAAATCAGTCACTATACAATTCCTACTATGGCCAGAACTAAAGGAATGCAAAACAAGACAAAATACAATCCTGTTCTTTAAGCAGTTAACCAGCAGAAACATACCAAAAAATTTTTTTAGGTATTTTCCCATTTATAAAACATTTCACAAACATTTAAATTTAATCTTTACGATATTCACATCACCATCCCCATTTTACAGATTAAAAAACTGAGACTTCATTTTCCACTCTTCTTTATTGTTCAAATAAACTTACACAAAAAAGGAAATTGCTTTGTACAGAACAAAAGTCAACAGAGCAGCGCACACAGCCAAACACCAAAGTGCCCCAAAGAGCGTCCTGAATGCGTTCTGGGGCTGTCCACTTAGGGCGGCGGAACTCTGGACCCACCTGGCCCCCGGCGCCCTCCGGCAGCCCTAGCCCCAGGAAGTCCCTGTGAGGCCAGCCTGCACCCGGCGGGGTCTGCGGGAAAACCTCGCTCTGCGGCTTGGAGTGCGCCTAGCTAGAGCTGTCACCGCTCAGCTCTGGCCAGCTCTGAGGCTGAGTGCAGGCTGGGCCGCAGTCACCGCGCCTCCAGCCTCCCGGATCGCCAACCTGCGGAAAAGAAGCGTACCTGGTGGAGAGGCGGCTAGAGGGTCAGCGGGCCCAGCCGACCTAGAAGGCGAGAAGGAGCCTGGCGGCAGTCTGGCCGACCTCAGCCGCTGCCAACTGCATCCACTACTCTCGGTCAACACCGAGCCACATTGATTCTTCAGATTATGCGGGACCCCGAAACCAAAGGCGAAGAGAGCCGGGGTTTGAAGCAAAAAGGGCATCGCAGTGGGGGAGGGGCGAAGGCGGAGACACGATCTGGGGGCGGGGCGCAAAGGGGCGGGGCCACGTCGCCAGGAGGCCAGCGCGAGGGAGCCAGGCGCTCGTCGGGAGGGAGCGGGACACCAGGAGGCGGGCACAAGAGGGCTGGGTGCGCATTACGAAGTGGCGGCCACTAGGGGGCGGCCACGAGGACACAGCGCGTCGCCAGGAGGCGGGCGCGAAAGGGGCGGGCACGTGGAGCGAGCGCGAGGCGGGGCGCGGCGCGAGAGGGCGGGGCGCGCGTATCGTCGCCGCGGCCGCGTGACGCGTTTTCAAATCTTCAACCGCCGCAGCCCAGTCGTTTGTGCTTTTTCCCTTTCCTCCTCTGCGCCTTGGAGCCGGACCGTCCCCGGAAACTCGGCCCGCGGACCCGGCACCTTTGCTGCGTGGAAACCTCGGCCGACGAAAGGAAAGAGCGGGCCGTCCTGTCAACCGGGCCGGAGAAGCCTTGTTTTCGCGGCCGTCTGACGCCGCACCCGGGCCGGACCCAGCATGTAGGTGCCGGGCGGCTGCCATGAACTCCGGAGCCATGAGGATCCACAGCAAAGGACATTTCCAGGGTACGAAGCCCCTCCTCCGCCTGCTGTCCCTTTAATCTTCCTCCTGCCATGGTTCCACCATTGATCTTCAAGACTTCTCCCGCCAGGTCCACTGCTGCTTGGCTTTCCTGCTTGTCCTTCTCTGACCTGGAGGAAGGCTCATTCAGGGTTTTGCCTCAGAAAGGAAACGGTTTCCACGGCTCCTCGCGCTCTCCTGTCCCCGTCGCGGCCCCACATTCCCGGTGCGCGGGTGGGTGAAAACCTGCAGCGTGCGGACCCGGGAACCTGCCGGGTCTCGCGGGGCCTTCAGTTTAAAGGCCGATGTGTTTGTGCCTTTTCTCTTCCTCATTAGATTGTATGATTCTGGTTGGGTTTCTTGTCTTTAAATCATAGTTAAGGGACACTCTTTGTGTTTCAAACACACCCATTGTTGGTTGCAACTTAATAGTGAGACAAAAGCAAATTTCCATTTTATTCATTTTATTTGGCAAAAACACTTAAGCATCTGAAGTCATTCCTGTATGTGAGTATGTAGTAACCACCAAGAAATAGATTTGATTCCAAAAATTTAAAGCAGTTGCTTGCATCTGAGATGTTTTCAAAAATAATGGAATGAATGGTGATGTAGTTCTAAATGGACCATTAAGTTCTTTTTTTAAAATTTGTTTTAATTAGTTACACATGACAGTACAATGATCTTGACATACATTTGAATCAGATGGGGTATAATTTCTCATTTTTCTGAGTGTACAGGTTGCAGAATCACATTGGTCATGCCTAAATGGACCATTAAGTTTTTAATATCTATATAAATGTGATTGAAATGATTCATTTAGTTCTTTTTAATAAAAGGCTTTATGTGAAACTTAAACTTGAGCAGTCAGTAAGTCTTAAAGACAAGGTCATTCTAGATAACAGGTTGTTTGGGTTGCTGTTCAACATTGTAAGCACCAATTTTGAATGTATACCAGAGTAGTGGAGGAAGGACCCCCATGGAGTTTACAAACCTAAGAGTCTTTCAAAAAGGGCGTATGTAGTCCCATGCTTTAATACATTCAACAGGAATTTTTCCTGCTGATTTCAGCTGTTATTTTATAATATGAAATCTATGAACACATGCAGGGCATTTCACCTTTACCTAAAAGTACTACAGAAAAGTACATTTAAACACTGATGACAAAAATTGATGTAATTATTTTTCTTGAGGTATTATTGCATATGAAATATTTTTAAAATAGTAAAATCTTGTCTGTACAAAACATGATCTAATAAACACTTTTAATAATAGGTGGAATCCAAGTCAAAAATGAAAAGAATAGACCATCTTTGAAATCTCTGAAAACTGATAACAGAACAGAAAAATCCAAATATAAGCCACTTTGGGGAAAAGTGTTTTACCTTGACTTACCTTCTGTCACCATATCTGAAAAACTGCAAAAGGACATAAAGGACCTGGGAGGGGTAAGTGAAAATCAATCGTACACTAACAAGAAAATATTTATAACTAGTATTTTCAAATATGTAATCATTTTAGTTTTTTCATTTTGCAAAATTTATGACCACCTTATCAGCACCAAGTTTAAAATTTTTACCAGCTATTTACAGAAAACCATTTGAGGACTAGAGATGTAGTTCAGTGGTTGCCTGAAAGCATCCCTGGGTTCAATCCCCAATATCAAAAAAAAAAGAAAAGTCATTTGTTCTGACCTTTTATAGCTTGACAAAACTTCAGGTTTCGGTGATTAGTAGTCTTGTGTAAATTAAGTGTAAAAAATGAGACTGCCAGGTATGATAGCGCACACCTGTACTCCCAGCAACTCAAGAGGCTGAGGCAGGAGGATTACAAGTTTAAGGTTAGCCTCAGCAAGTTAGTGAGATCCTGTTTCAAAATAAAAAGAACTGGCCATATTGCTCAGTAGTAAAGCAGCCCTGGGTTCAATGACTGGTACCAAAAAAGAGAGAGAGACTCCCTTTTCCTATTGGAACTGTTTATTGCCTTCTATATATACTGTTATGTTGTCCTCCAAATAGCAGAAACTCTTTGATGATGATTATTGGGAGACCACATAGAGTTAAATCTTCTTTCCTACCTTATACATTGATTAGATGATTCCTACTGGATTTCAAGTTTCAGGTTTCTAAAGGTCATTTCATTCTGAGACTAGAAGCTCAGAAAAACATTTAACAAGTTGCCTAGAACTATTTGTCAATGTTATTTTACTTAACCTAAAGGTCATGTAATAGACTTGCCACCATATTGACTACACACATCACCTATAAAGATTATCTTCACATGTTAAAGAACCTGAGTAAAGTCTCCATTTTAGAAATGAAGTATTTGAGATCCAGAAAAATTAGATGGCTGGTCCTATCAGAGTAATATTAACCTCTTACTTCCCAGAGTAACATAGTACTATAGTATTCTGTTCTTCTAGCAAACAGTGGCTACAAAGTAGCTGTTTAATATAGTTTGACAGCTTTCTCAAATATGATAATCAATCCGTTCTACTAACCTGAGGTTTAATGGTCTAAATCAGTGAGGTTTGTTTTCTTAGCAGTAGAACCCTTCAGACAAAATCATATATAGCAATCTAATGTAGAAAGCCTGTAAAAATGGAACTCTCCCAAAATACAGTGTCTAGGGCAGGAACCACTTGCCCTGGCCTCTTTCTTTTCTCCACTGTCCCCACAACTGTTCCTGAGGTATTCGCAAGAAACAAAAATTTGAATTATTTCTGCCATACATTGAGGAACACTTTAAACTTTATGCTAACATGGTTTAAAATACATCAATGTGCATATTAAGGGCATAAGTTTCCAATTTCCCACCCTGAACTATAGATTTTTCAGTTGAATTTGCTTTATTAACTTCTTATTTATTTATTTATTTATTTTAAGATTTACTTATTGAATTCTGATCTCTCACACACACACACACATACTGTCTTTCTTATGAAATTCAATGATGTTCATTCCTTGGGTGCTGATTTCTGACTCTAGCACATTTCCTGTTTTGGTTACTAAAACAATATTGTCATAAAACTATCCTCTGTGAACTATAAAAGAACCTCGACCTCTGGGTAATTTTAAAAAGTTTTAGGATTCAGTTTTATGAAATATTAATTTTGTTATATATTTCGCTAAGGATTGTACTTTATATTTTTAGTTTTACGTAGGCCTTTTATCCTTTATTGCTTATCTTGCTTTAGATATCATCCCTGATCCTGACTTTTTGTTTAATTGACCACTTTATATATTGGCTTTTTCTAGTGTTGGTAAATTCATGTTAATACCCCATTTATCTCCACAGAGTACTTTTGATAAATTCAGCCACTAAAAGCATAGCAGTAAATTCTGACTCAGTGGGGAAAAATATTTAATAGTGGCTAGAAAAGTAGTAGCTATAAAACCATCTCAGAAGAACATACAACCAGTGACATTTGTAAACAGTTTAGGTTAAAAGAAGGCAGTTGGTGAAGAAACAGAAATGTAAGGGCAAATATTTTGCCATACATATCATGAGTTTGAGTACATAGTTAAATATTTGATATTCATTTTCATGACCTAGAGTTATCTGGAAATAAGTTTTGAGTTTATTCTTCAAAAGGCATAGATTAACGATTTCTAATAAGTTGAAGACCATGATAGAACAAATTCAACAATCATTGGATTGTGGCATGCAAGGCACAGCATTGTCTGTTTTAGTACTTTAAAAAATGAACCCTGTGTCCATCAACCAGCCTGTCTTAAAGTTCTAATCTAGATAGAGAAGGCATGGATACAGTTAATTGTAATACAACATAAAATATCAAAAGGAGGAGGAGATTACTTCCTGCTGAGGAATTGTGGAGCACATTGTACAGATACAATTTGAACTCTGTTGAAAAATGATTTAAGATTTAGGTAGGCATTTGAAAATTCAGAAATTTTTCCACCACTGTCTTCTATGTGCCAGCACTATTTTAGATTGTTGAGGGTATAAAAATAAGTAATGTGTAGTCCAGTCCTCTAAGAACTCAGTCTAGTAGGTACACGAGACAACTAAATAAAATAACTTATAGTAGAGCATTGTCAAACAAAAAATATGTGGAAATTGTTATTAGAACACAGATAGGAATCATAGCATAGATAATGTTTGAGCTAGGTTTTCAAAACCTTGTAGGAATATACCAGTCAAAATGGACATACATATTAGAGGAAACAGCATATTTAAAATATATGTCAGTATAGGGATTCTTTTATTTTTTATTTTTTGGTACAGGGATGAAACCCTGGGGTACTCAACCACTGAGCCACGTCCCCAGCCCTTTTTTTGTGTTTTTTTTTTATTTAGAGACAGGATCTCACTGAGTTATTTAGGGCCTCCCTAAGTTGCTGGTGCTGCCTTTGAACACACAATCCTCCTGTCTCAGCGTCCCAAGCTGCAGGGATTATAGGTGTGCACCACTCACTATGCCGAGCCAGTGTGAGTTTGTTGCGTAACTGCTAATATTGCAATGTGACTTAAGCAACAAGATTTTGATTGGAGAAATGGCAAGAAATGAAGGTATATTAGTACCAGATTTTTTTTTTAATATTTTATTGTTGGCTGTTCAAAACATTACATAGTTCTTGATATACATATTTCACACTTTGATTCAAGTGGGTTATGAACTCCCATTTTTACCCCATATACAGATTGCAGAATCACATCAGTTACACATCCATTGATTTACATATTACCATACTGGTGTCTGTTGTGTTCTGCTGCCTTTCCTATCCTCTACTATCCCCCCTCCCCTCCCCTCCCCTCCCCTCTTCTCTCTCTGCCCCCTCTACTGACATTCATTTGTCCCCCTTGTATTATTTTTCCCCTTCCCCTCACTTCCTCTGGTATGTACTTTTGTATAACTCTGAGGGTCTCCTTCCATTTCCATGCAATTTCCCTTCTCTCTCCCTTTCCCTCCCACCTCTCATCCCTGTTTAATGTTAATCTTCTTCTCATGCTCTTCGTCCCTACTCTGTTCTTAGTTACTCTCCTTATATCAAAGAAGACATTTGGCATTTGTTTTTTAGGGATTGGCTAGCTTCACTTAGCATAATCTGCTCTAATGCCATCCATTTCCCTGTAAATTCTATGATTTTGTCATTTTTTGATGCAGAGTAATACTCCATTGTGTATAAATGCCACATTTTTTTTATCCATTCGTCTATTGAAGGTCATCTAGGTTGGTTCCACAGTCTAGCTATTGTGAATTGTGCTGCTATGAACATCGATGTAGCAGTGTCCCTGTAGCATGCTCTTTTTAGGTTTTTAGGGAATAGACCGAGAAGGGGAATAGCTGGGTCAAATGGTGGCTCCATTCCCAGCTTTCCAAGAAATCTCCATACTGCTTTCCAAATTGGCTGCACCAATTTGCAGTCCCACCAGCAATGTACAAGTGTACCCTTTTCCCCACATCCTCGCCAGCACTTGTTGTTGTTTGACTTCCTAATGGCTGCCAATCTAACTGGAGTGAGATGGTATCTTAGGGTGGTTTTGATTTGCATTTCTCTGACTGCCAGAGATGGTGAGCATTTTTTCATGTACTTGTTGATTGATTGTATGTCCTCCTCTGAGAAGTGTCTGTTCAGGTCCTTGGCCCATTTGTTGATTGGGTTGTTTGTTCTCTTATTGTCTAATTTTTTGAGTTCTTTGTATACTCTGGATATTAGGGCTCTATCTGAAGTGTGAGGAGTAAAGATTTGTTCCCAGGATGTAGGCTCCCTATTTACCTCTCTTATTGTTTCTTTTGCTGAGAAAAAACTTTTTAGTTTGAGTAAGTCCCATTTGTTGATTCTAGTTATTAACTTTTGTGCTATGGGTGTCCTATTGAGGAATTTGGAGCCCGACCCCACAGTATGTAGATCGTAGCCAACTTTTTCTTCTATCAGACGGCATGTCTCTGATTTGATATCAAGCTCCTTGATCCATTTTGAATAAACTGTTGTGCATGGCGAGAGAAAGGGATTCAGTTTCATTTTGTTGCATATGGATTTCCAGTTTTCCCAGCACCATTTGTTGAAGATGCTATCCTTCCTCCATTGCATGCTTTTAGCCCCTTTATCAAATATAAGGTAGTTGTAGTTTTGTGGATTGGTTTCTGTGTCCTCTATTCTGTACCATTGGTCCACCCGCCTGTTTTGGTACCAGTACCATGCTGTTTTTGTTACTATTGCTCTGTAGTATAGTTTGAAGTCTGGTATCGCTATACCGCCTGATTCACACTTCCTGCTTAGCATTGTTTTTGCTATTCTGGGTCGTTTATTTTTCCATATGAATTTCATGATTGCTTTCTCTATTTCTACAAGAAATGCCGTTGGGATTTTGATTGGCATTGCATTAAACCTATAGAGAACTTTTGGTAATATTGCCATTTTGATGATGTTCGTTCTGCCTATCCATGAACAGGGTATATTTTTCCATCTTCTAAGATCTTCTT